AAGGAGAAGAGCGCGCAGTAATAGGAGCAGCTAAAGAAGAAATTTCCGAGAAATATTTCCCCTGGAGCCGCACGATATGATGCTCCCTACTGTACATACACAGAAATCTTTTGTGCGTCTTCCCACATAAAAAAGTATTATAACAAAACTTGGGAGTGTAGAAAGTATCAATGACCAAAAGTACTGCTTGAAAGTTTCAATGCATTTGTGCATATATACATATGTAATATATATGCAGCATATGGCAGCTCCGCTCCATTCCCTGCAGCTCCTTTTCGTCTACAAGTGTAACTAAAGCCGAGCGGCGGTAACATGTATAAGAAAAAGTTGTTCAGAATAACGTCCTTGACAACATATTTCAAGCTCATTGAAATTGATGAGGACGCTCCTAATCTAAATAATTACCATTCTATTAATGTAGAGATAAATAATATGGTGTTCTTACCATAAAACTTTTGTATGAAACATTGTTTCCAATAGTTTCCATTTCTCCAATAGTTTTCGAGATACATCGAGAAAAGCGCAAAACTACTTTACACATAAGAAGTGTTTCATTCTTTAGAATCATTTTTAGACTGCTATTGAACATTTCTACATTCATATAGTTATCTACACATGTGTATAGATAACGTAATGTGTATAGATAATGTGTAAAGTTTTATCGTAAAAACGTTTTTGTAAAAATGTTTTCCAACATTTATTTTTAAATAAAGATAGTAATTCTTTAAATAAAGATGCTTTTATTCTCTGAATATTTAACCTTTATAAGTCAAAAACTACTTAATGAAAATAAACTTTATTATAGTGTTTTGGAAAGCTCTTGAGTTAGGCTATAAGAATCTGCAATACAAAATAGGGAGTTTTGTTTAAAAAAAATTGATGTGACCGCGACCTGATCTTGACGGCGTAATCCAAGGTCACAGTAATACAATCAACAAATAGATCTTTTTAAACTATACTACTTTTGTCTGAAACACTTTTTTGTAAAACTTATATTTTCTGAGATTTTCAGGTGTTCCGGTACTTTTTTTACCCTGTATAATCGTATACACAAAATATATAGATATAAGGTAATTATGCAGTTATACGGACTATTTTCCGATCTCAACAATTTTGACATATGTTATCAAGGTCACCTCCCTGAATAATAATATGAAGGTTTTATCCGTCGCTCATTGTTTATAAAAAACTTATGAACAAAAAAAGTTTCATGAATAAACTATTG